TTATTAGCAAGAAGTATTTGAGCACGACGTTTACGAAATAATTCAAGGAAATATTGTAAACGAGCATAATTATGATCTAATATAGACATATCGACATGAAAACGATCGAAGATTGTTAAAAAGTAATTCTTATAATGGTTGTACATCAATGATGATGTTGACGAACTTGGATCTGTCATAGTAAATATGCATTTATATTCACCTGGTTGACGACGTCCTAATTCTGTACGTGATAATTGAATTGGAGTCACATTGGCTAATAATAAATTCAATGGATTATCTGCATCATTATTATCTCTATTTGGAAATGTTGGTAAAATTGAGAGACGATGTCGATTATAAAAATGAAGTGTACGTGGTATATAATTCGGTTGATAAAGACCAATCGGTGTTTTGATTGGTGTTACTATATCAATAATTTCGATGTGTGTTGTTGCTGTTGATGCTGTTCGTCGGTGTCGTCTTGCCGATGGCTCTCTTGGTGTCAATGATTTTTTGAGTCGTGATAGTTCCATGGTAGTAGCTGCCAGACGACTTGTTGTTTCTTCAGTATGTTGTTCCTGTGCTGTTGGTGTGGAATATTGAGTAGTTTCCATTAAATGATCACCATAGTTTCTATTCTGATCATTTTTCTCATTATTATCTTCATCCGAACTGAATAGATCCGACATATGTATGTCAAAATTAGGTAGAACTATATTTTCATCCATTGTTAAAGTGAAATTGTAAAAATGAATATCCTTTATATTGCAAAAGTCGTTTGAGACAAACGTAATATCTAGAATATAAGGAATAAATGAAAATCATTTAGTCAAATACCACGTACCATATAACATTCGTTTATGTGATAACAAAAGAGAAATATAAAAGAAATACATCGTACCTGTCTTCGACGTCGACGAATACAGAATGAAGAAATGTCTTATAATGCGCAGCTATTTATAAAAGCGAAACAAAGAGAGAGAGAGAGACAGAGTGATTGATTTGTAACATTTATTTTTCTCTTTCTTTCTTGAATATGATTGGACAAAAAAAAAGAATGTGAAGAGAAGACATTTTTACAACACAAAGAAACAAAGACAGACAATGAACGACAGTCAAACGAAAAGAAATACAATACTGAAGAAAAAGAATTTTGTTAACATTTAATAAATATCTATGATTTTCTACAGACGAGTAGTTTGAATTCGGCATTCATCGATTTTATTCGTTGCTATACCAGATCTTTCTTCTTTATTCTGTTGAATTTCATAATCCCTAAATGTAATTTCTTCATAATGTCTCGATTCGCTTCGTCCTTGTTGACTTCTAATCCGAGACATATGATGTTGTAACAAATAGATAATTTGAAAATTTACCAAAAGTAAAACTAAGATTCCAAGAAGAATAATAATGAGAAGAGGATGAATAAAAACTAGATCTTTCTTTTCAGTCATTACAGGTACTGATACAGGTTGTATGGTGGTAGTATTAATGTTCTCCTGAAACTCCGTATAATATATTGAGTCAATATATTCTTTGAGAATAGTATCTTCGTAGATTGATGGACACCAAAGATATTCCGGATTCGTAGCATTTATTGGAAGAAGAAAACATTTCGTTTCTGGAGTGTCAGTCATTCTAACTGAAATTATTGGTAAATCGAACTGATCGAGGAATTTCAATCTGAAAACTAAAAGAAATTAATATCCAAGTCTAAATATGTATGGGTATCATTCTTCAAAAAACAAGAATAAGTTAGTAAAAACTAATAATCTATGTTCTAATAATAATTAGATAAACTAAAAATGGATAGTATATTAAGAACTAATTGCGAGGTATTTTAGCAGACACAAAGTTTTTTTTTTTTGATAATTGAAATTGAAGTGATCGTAGCCAGTTATAAGATCAAGGTATCGACGCACTCTTTTGGTTAAGACCCGTGACCTAGAAATAGGACCAAATGAAATCGATGTAAATCGGCTACACATACGTTTTGTCGAGTTTTGTTTTTCAGTGATCATAACTTTACCTGTCTTGTGTTATCAATAGCATCAAATACACCGAATTTCATAAGATACTGTTGAACAGGTGAATAGGTTCGTTTTTGTCGCGACAAATTCTTATATAATTCATAATAGAGACCATATGCAATGAATAAGACCCAAAAGATGAGAACGGTAAATCCCACTGCTAGAATGCAAATCTCTAGATGATTCTTTTCTATCATAAATATCGTTTGAGTAGTTGAGGAATTGAATTGGTTTCGAGCAGTTTGATTACGAAAATTGACAAGCGTTTGTGACGTGTCTACAATTGGTTGCAATGAAACTGTAAATCCTTGATCATCCGTTGTATTCATGTTTATTTAAAAAATTTTCAGCCTTTTACTCTTAGTGAGGCAATAAAATGAAATAGCGAAACGATGATGTAGTCTAGAATGAAACAGAAAAGAAAGCAATAACTATAAGGCAAAAGTAGGAAATGAAGAGTTTTTATAATTAATCTATATATGCTACGACAATTATTTGAACTAAACAGCAAAAAGCAAAACTACAATCTAATTCAACAAGAAGAGAAAAAGAAATCAGTCATTAAAAATTCGAGACCATTGGTGAGTTGTTGTCTTTAAACCAAATCTTCCTAAAAACAAAACATCATTTGAATTATAATTATAAGATGGTTAAATTCTGACTTTGAACTCATGTTGTTGATGTTGTTGTTGTTGTACAGGTTCATTTTGAAGTATTTCATTTTGAATAGTGTCAGGTTTACTATGGTCAGTTTTATTGGCCTTGGTACAGATTGTTGAACAAATGAAAAGAATTGCTAACATCGTTATCAGAATAGTATAGATAAAGACGATCATCAGAAGAAAACCATTGTTATTAACCATAAACATTGGTTTTAGTGAGGTATTATTACTAGCCGTACCATTAGAAATATTTTCTGTAAGTGTATAATTCATGTTAGAAAAATTATCTGTTGAACTCAAGGAGAACAATAGACTACTATTGTTGCATCTTGGAGATAGAGAAAATGCACAATTCCATATATTGTAAAACATTTCCATTAGTGTATTGTGCTGTTATCTGAGGATCGTAGAATACGATTAATCTAGTGATCTGAAACATAAATTATATATATATTTGATTTACAAGTTTTTTAGTCTTCAACTGCTATTTATTCTGAATGGCTTAAACTATAAACAAATCGATAGAAAGGTATTAGATCAAGAAGTTTTTCAACGTGAATATTGCTTTAGCTGCTTGTCCCACAAAACCAGTAGAGCAAAATATGAGATTAAAGATAATACTTAGTCATCAATATTTGATTCACAGAAAAAGAAAAATCTATATAAATCTTTTCATTTTTGCTAGCCATCAGAATTTTCTCATTATATTTCTAGAAAACTGAGTGATCCAACTATAAGCAAAGCCATCTGTGTTTATCTTTTTTACGTTATACTTTTTGTTTCCGTCATCTAATATATATAAATGTCAATAAACTACAATCAAAAGAAAAGACATATCTAATTAACTAAACACTACTCAAAGAAGATAATGAATAAAAAAAAACATCATTATTATTTTTAGAATTTAATGCGTAAAGTTACAAAGATAAAAGATACGAAAATGCTAACATAAGCAGAAATCTAATGACTAATTCTACGTTTCAGTAATGGATATCTAAGAAAAAATTCAGATTAAAAGTAATAATAATTCAAAGTAATGTATGTGTCAGAATTATTTTTCCGTTTTTATAAATGTTGTTGTATCATTGGATGGAAAAAAGCGAGCTACTGATGGACTTAATAAATTTTCACACCAAATTCTACCTTGACTATAAGGTAAACCATATAAAAGATCAGTTGAACCTGTAAATAAATTAAAACAATTTAATTTCGTTTCAGCATGAGTAACAAATAAAATCTCAATCAGATGCCGAAGCATTGTTGAACATTGTAATGGTAGAACAGCAACAATAGTTGCACGATAAAAATCGAGTGATAAATAGAACTGATAATGTTGTGGATGAAAATTTCCAAAAAATTCACGTTGTGCATCTTGTTGACGTTGGGAAAAAGTATAGCCTGGTGGTGGTTTGGGAATACGAGCAAGATAATTATTTTCAATTTTTATTGAATCTTCTTTCCGAATGACATCTGATATATTTTTGTAAGATAAATCATCGTATTGTGCATCAATTACTTTCATGGGAACGAATGACCAATATTGAGGATTATATTCGAGAAATAATTGTAAAGCTTTTGTACAATGCGTAATATGTTGATAAAGACGCTTTTTATTGGCACGTCGTTTTTCAATTTCATTTTCGGTACATGTACATAGAACCGGAAACGGTTCGCCGTTTAATAAATATTCAATAATCAGACGGTTGACATGTTGTCGATGGTATTCAATGACCTCATTTAATGAATATCGTGTTGAGCCAATATAGTCATATTCACCACAGGCACATGTTAAAACATAAATTATATTATTTGTTTGACAATTTGCTGGACAATTTAGTACAGCTTCATAGCCATTAACAAAACGATGTTTCTGTCCTGATGTTGAAAATTCAATTGTAGTACAACTAGCAGAATCTGAATCATTTTTTGCTTGACATAAAGTACAAAATAATCGTTGGCATGGTTTCATATCGTGATACAAGGAATTTGTCATATCATCCGTATAAAATAATCCAGTTTTTATCAATAATCCATCAGGTATGCGAAATGCACATGTTTTCATAAAGAACATATCGACATCAAGCTGTAAGAAAAATTCTAATAAAATTACTAATTCATATATATGTAAGCGCCGTAAAAATTTTTCATGTAGTGGAACTTTAAAATGATGATCAAATAGAAAATCTGAACCTTCATATGTACGATATTTACTAATGAAAAGTTCAATTATATGAAATAGCCGATATAAATTATAATCAAGAATGGATGTATCAACATTTAAACGTGTTTTAAAATGACCAAGCCAATTATCATAAATTAAATAGAGATAAGACGGTATTTGTTGGTTAGATTTCGAGTTTATTGGATCAGGATAAACGCCTGAATCTCGTCGCGTTAATTCAATGCGCGATAACTTCTCTGCTGGTACACTAGCTAAAAGTAGTGGTGCATTTTGCATCGATTGATTTGTTTGATTTGGAAACGTCGGTAAAAATTGTCGGCGTCCTTGATTATGATGATTAAGTGTTTTCGGTTGATATTCAATTACGTTTTCTTCATCCAAAGGAAGTGTTGGTCGAGTTAATTTAAGTGGACAGTGCCATTTTGATTTCTTGAGTGACATGATTCGATTAGTGTTGCTCTTCAGATGATCTGAAAACAAATATTGTCGATGAACGAAGTAATACGATTAACAAAATAATAATTATTATTAATCTAAATAGAAGAAACGCAATTAAGAGATCCATTTGAGTTGAATTTCCTTTCTAATGATAATGTTTTTGTCTAAAACTCAATACGAAAAAAAAACAATAAAATTATACATCGGAATAAAACGAACTATGAAACTACTACTCTACGAAGAAGTTATTCAGTTTTACTTTATGTTATTTTTATATTGTTGCCTAAATGAAAACTACGAAGTGATTGACGATGAACGTATTATGTTTTCACACCATACTCTATGAAAAGGTAATCCATAAAATTCGTACGTATCTTTTGTACGTAAATTAAACATATTTAATTTTGTTTCGGCATGTGTTGCAAAGAGACATTCAAGTACTTGACGTAATAATGTTGAACAATTTTCTGGTAGAACAGCTATAACCGTAACATTATAAAAATCAACTGATGTAAACATTTTTTCATCATGACTTTTTGTTATATGTAACTTTTCAAAGAATTTTCTTTGCTTTTCTTGTTGACAATTTGAAAAAATATAACCATTCGGTGGTACTGGTACATTTTGAATATATAAGTCCGTAAAATTATTTATAGGCGATACTTCGATTATTCTATTTCTATCATCAACTATTGCTTGATCAAAACTTATTGGAATAAAACCATCATAATTAGGATTTACATTTAAAAATAATTGAATAGCTTTAGAACAACGTGTTGAATGTTGATATAAACGGATGAGTTCTTTTTGTTTATGTAAAAAATTGTTTGTATCACGATGTGAATAAAAAGACGACTTTGTAGATATTAATGTTTCATGCATATATTGATTGCCAGCTTCTCGAATAGATTCAATCACTTCTGACATATCGGAAGATGTTGATCCAATAAAATCATATTCACCGCATGGACAAGTTAAAGCATAGATGATGTTTTTCGTATGACACGTAACTGGACAATTGAGAATTGCATGATAACCATTTAGAAAGTGATGTATTCGATATGAATTAAATTGTATAATTGTTGATGATGATTCGCATAATGTGCAAGAAATCTTTTGACAAGGTTGAAAACTATATCGTACGGTAGGTAATTGTGATTTACAAAATAGACCTTCATCTAAAGATCGAGGCCATGCATCACGATATGTACATGTTTTCATGTAGAAAAGATCGACGTCAATTTGTAAGAAGAACTCTAAACCTATTCTTAATTCAAATTCATCAAGTTTGAGTAGAGCATTTGAGAAGTTCATATCTTGTTGTATACAGAATGGAATAATATTATTATTATTATTGTTCAATTGAGTAAATCGTCGAGAAAATACCATTTGT